AGAGCCAGGGCTGGGAGCTGAGGGCCTGTTCTGGGGAGCCGAGAAGCAGGGTTGGCCAAAGGGACAGCAGGGGTGTCTCAAGAATAAACATGCTGTTGCTTTTGAAAAAAAAAAAAAAAAGAAAAAGGGACTCTGTAGATGTGCTTAAACTGAGGATACTGGAGATTAACCAGGTGGATACAGTGTAATCACAGAATTCTTTTAAGGAGGCAGAAGAATCAGTGTCAAAGAGCAAGTGAATATAAGGACAATAGTGGAGGTTGGCACTTTGAAAATGGAGGAAGGGGCAATGATCCAAGGAATATAGGCAACTTCTAGAAGCTGGAAAACCAAAGGAAATGGATTCTCTAGAGTCTCCAAAAGGAACATGGGCCTTGACTTTAGAGTAGGAAAACAGACATTGGACCTCTGACAACCTCAGAAACTATAAGAATAAATGTGTTATTTTAAGCCATTTACATTTGTGGTAATTTGTTATAGCAACAATAGGAAAGTAATAGATTCACATAGCAGAGTGCCTACTATAGGCCAGGTACTGGATGGGTTAAGACCACAAAAAGTTTACAAATCTAATAGCAGGGGTGTGTTTGAAAGCAACACTGTGATTGCTTTAACATCAAGTAAAACAGGGCAGAAAAGCAGCTGTCAATTTTCCAGTGGAGGTGGGTCCCTAAAGACACTCCATAAACAGGCTCTATCACATCCTGCACATTCCTATAAGCACCCGTGACCACTGTGTGTCATGTCTGTGTTGCCTACCAGACCAACACATGCCAGCATGTTACATGACCACAATAAGTGCTAACTCAAGTTACATTACATAGTCAAAAAGCGTTCCTTTTTCCACGGTTTTGTGAAAATTAAGTTTTTTAAGGAGCTCTGGTAGCCTAGTGTCCAAGGTATCTGACTGCTAACCAGAGGTTGGTGTTTCAAAGGCACCAGCCAATTCACATAAGGAAGACTGGTCAATCTACTTCCATAAAGATTTACCACCTCGGAAACCCAAAGGGGGTCGCTATGAGTCAGAATTGACTCAATGCCAGTTTGTTTGTTTGGGTTTTTTTTTTTTGGTTAGTTTGTGACAAACAGTATTTTTAAGCATTTTATATGAGCAGATATATTTAATTTTCATTTCAATCCTACAGTATGCCCCCCAAAACCCAAACCCACTGTCACTGAGTTGATTTTATCTCATAGTGACCCTATAGGACAGAGCAGAATTGCCACATAAGGTTTCCAAGGCTGTAAATCTTTACAGACTGCCTCATCTTTCTTTCAAACCAACCTTTTAGTTAGGTAGGCAAATGCTTTATCCACTGCATCACCAGAACGCCTCCTATGAAATCAGGTGCTACTATTTTCTGTGTTGCTGACAGAAAACAGAGATTAAGAAACTTATTAGCTCAAGCTAGTAAATGGTGGCTGGATATAAAGCCAAGCAATCTGGCTCCAGAGCCAGCACTCTTCATTCAGCGTAACATAAATGAACCTTCACAGATAAACTATACCAGGTAAACTCTGGCCAACAACCAATGAGTACAACAGACAATACAAACTAAAACAAGGACTAGGATACTCTAGGAAAGATAAAATAGATAAAGTTACAACTTTCAAGGGTAGAAACAAAAATAAGCATTACAGGACATGCTTTTTTTTTTTGGTAGAAATAGAACCCAGAGGGTGCTCAAGATTTTTAAAAAGCTGGTTGGGCAATCTAGCAGAGGGTCCCTTGTAGGCAATGAAACCACTCTTAATGGGTTTCCTAAGTAAAATAAGGCACCAACCTCCCTGTGAATAGATCTGACAGTTCACAAAACAGCTTCATACCCATTTTTAATCCAAACAATCCAGTGATGAAGGCAGAGGAGGGATCATCCCACTTGCTGGGAAACTGATAGCAGAAGTTGTCATCTGACTGCAAAGCTTAAATTCTTCTATTCATCCCCCCTCTCTGCCCCTGCCAATTGCCTGATTCTCCAGGCAAGAGTTTCAGCATTCTCTATGCAATCTGGATCTCTGCAATTCCTCCCTGACCCTAAACTCCCTCACCCTCTGGTGGTCCTGGCCCCAGGCCTCACCTGGCAATGGGTTTATATAGAAAAGAGTTGAGTTTCTAAGACTGAAAGCAGAAATGTCTGCAGAACATGCACAATATACTTCTTTATCCTGGATATTCCTATACCTTTCTACCCTCACCAGCTCAAAAAGCTCCGCTAAACACCATCATCCTATGGAATGCCACTTCTTTATTATAACTACTGCAATTAGGATACCTCTTCTCACCAGCTCAAAAAGCTCCGCTAAACACCATCATCCTATGGAGTGCCACTTCTTTATTATAACTACTGCAATTAGGATACCTCTTCACTGAATTGCTAGAATACCTAGTCTTCCCCTCAACCCAACTTTGCTTAGGGGTTTAACAACATGGTATCTGTACAACTTTAAAACTAGGTTTATTTTTTATTTATTGAACCAGATATTCTTAAAGAGTATCTAAACCCCACGTAAGCCACTGATGGCCTTCACTGGTCCACTAAGCCAAATAGGCTCTATTATCACCTGAGCCACGTTTATCTTTCTTGACACTGGATACAGGTGCACATACAAGACAGGTTATATTATACTATATCCTCACCATCTTCTTTCAAAAACTAGAAGGTAGAATTCTTATATCCTACTAAAGCAGTAAAACAAAATCTTAGGACATTTCAAAACTTACGCTCTTTGGCTCCATCTAGAGATTAATGTACAATTTTGTTTTACATGATCCAACAGTTCACTAGGAGACTAAATTTCTAGTCAAACCCTGGTAACTCACAAACTTTAGAAACTACTTAAAGTATCTTTCCCTTTTCAGAGTTCACTGATGCTAAAAAAACACACTAAGCCAGAAAAAGCCTCCAACACTCAAAACAAAAAATTTAACAAAAATTTTAAATCTACTTGTCTAACAATTTTCAAATACTAAAAAGTAATGAACGAGTTCTGGGGTGACAGGGCCAAAAGAGTTAACAAGGCACCAGTTTCACACTGCCTCACACCCATGGCACAATCAACGAGGACCACAAAAATTCTTTCATGTACTTCACATTACACATCCTATACTTTCACTTGTCTAGATGATATGAATGTGAAATATACTGGACTATTACTTATTAAACGAACACCAAAATCTTCCATTTCAAGCTTTTGTTCATAACTTCACTGTAAGTACTTCACAGGCTCCAAAGTCACTTCCATCCAAGGGTGCAGATTTCATTTCTTCCTTCATAATATGGAATGAAATTCACCCAAATACGGGCAAAAGGATGCAAAACAAAAAGTGCAGCATAAAAACAGAACATAAAAGGAAAATGATACCTTCACAGGGTACAGTTATCTAGGCAAGCCAAAGCCTGAAAGGTGAAATTCCAGCAATGGAATTAATTTTTTACACTTGTGAAACTTTTTTTTTTAAAACCTTACTTACATACAAATCATGCACACGTGTTTGTGAAACAGACTTTCTTAAAAGAAAACAGACCTATTTGGGCACAATACAAAAGTCAAAAACTAAGTTTTTCTTTTTTCCCCTGTAGAGAAAAGCCTTTAATAAACTTTCACAAGATACAAACGGAACCCTGAGCTTCATGCAACAGGTTGATTTGATTAATTTTATCACACATCAAAATTTGCCATTATAATTAAGGGGAGGGGCAAGCTAACAAAAAGTCACCAATACAAGAACATCTCAATTTGAAAGCAGTTTGTATTTTATTAACTGACCAGATTACAAAAATAGTCATGGTAGACACCTGAAAAGGGAGGGGAAGGGGAAGGAAAAAAAAAAAAAAAAACTCATTAAATAAACCACCTTAGTAGCAAAGAATGTAAATCAGACAATTTTAAGAAAATAACAACTCAGTTTCCATGTTTAAATAATAAATAGCCCTTTCCTTCCCTCTAGAAAGGTCTTCAAAAGCCAACTGTTACATGCGCATTTTCTACTGAAAATATTGATTAAACTGCAACCAAACCCCCTTCAATATTTACTGGAACAAAGTATTTAGGACCAACACCACTTTTGCTTTAAGTAAACTCTTACGTTACAAGGCAGCCTCTCACCTAGTTCATCCTTCTAATAAGCCTGTTGATCTGGTCTTCCCTGTTGCCAGCATCTCCACCTTCTACAAAATGGGTGGTCTTTTTCTTCATTCCGCCTCTTGGAGAAGATAATTTGAAGGGCCACAGGAAGTTGTTTGCTTCTTTGAAGCGTTTTCCAACGGTATAGATCTCATGAATCAGATCCTCCATGCAGATGATGCCGTATTTACCTGGACATTGTAAAGTACTCAATGAGTGTCAATTATAGGCAATCACAAAAAACAGCAAAGCAACAAGAGAATAGATGCATAGCCTGATATACAAAGATAGGTACCAAACCAACAGAAACACATTTTTTTATACTTTGACTTAACCATTGGAGGGAATAAGTGAGAATTCTCAATAGTGGGAAATGTAAGGTCACAAGATCCCCCAAAGCATCACCTTGGTCTGCTATCAACTTTTCCCCTAATAGGCAGAACCTACCAAGAGAGCGTGCAATCAAAGTGTTATCTGTCAGGGCAATTCGCTTCTTATTGATTTTGCCATAACCACGCTTGTAGATCAGTTCATTCACTGACTTCAGATTTGGATACCTAAAATTAAAAAGCAGACATAAATGACCAAAGAAATAAGATTATCACTGTTTAAACAAGTAAAACCTGCCTTGCAATTTAATTTGGTAATAAATCGCTACCAAACAAAAGATAAGACTTATTACCCCCATGCAATATATGGTTCCACAATCCTCAGCATGTTAATTGAAGCCTTGTTGAGCTTAACAAAGGTGCCATTGAAGATCTGGCGAAGGCGAAGAAGCTGCAACACCTTTCGAACCTTTGGGCTCACACCATTGATACTGAAGGTAAAAAAGTGGGGAAAAAAACACTATTTAGCCTTCATCTGAAACTTCATTAATAAAGCAAAGGAAATCTAAACGTCGTAATTTTGAACAGAGAAGTCCCACCTAAATGGATAGGAATACCCATGTCCCTGAGGTTTTCCCTTTAGTTACCTAAATTATTCTTCCCTCTTTGAAACATCCCTTTTACATTCAAATCTGACTCCCTCACCTTGTCTTCACTCTGTACACATCTTTGTCTTAAGTGTCCAGATTGCACTTTAATTACTTTTGAAGGTCATCACCATGAAACTAACCATTAGGGACAAGTTAGGAACTGTGAGCACAGATTGGCAACTAAACCATTAAAATGACAACCCCTTGCTTTATCTACCCCCAAAAGATTTTTATTCTAATGCTCAGAACCAGGGCCCCCAGAGAAGTCGTGTGAAGTTGTAACTTTCCCTTTAAGACCAGGATGTCTTTAACAAAGTAAACACTGAACTTACCCTCTGATCCTGATAACAAATGCCAGTTTGGGTTCTCCGGGTACATAGAAGTTGCCAGCTTTCCTTGCCATTCTAGCCATTCGAATCTCAGTTCTGTACATCTGCCTATATTCCTTGTGATAGTGCTTAGCTTTTTCATAGATAAGCTTCCTCCTTGCCTTTTGTAGCTGAAAACATGAATCCGTTATTCATCTCTGATTTTTAGTCAAAAATACAACTAACAACAAGAATTAATCTAAAAAAAATTAAGACACTTTCCCCAAAACCTTGTTTTGTGTCCCTCTACGCAGTAACATTCCAAAAATACAGTACTACTCTTACTTTGAGACTGTCCATTAAAGACCTAAACAATCTCACTGCCTGGCACAATAGCAAAGCAATGACGTTCATTTTCAATCCTACCTACCAACAAGGGCTCTTCACCTGACTTAAGTTTACACTCACCATCTTTTGGGCAAACTTCTTTCTCAGGCGCTTGATCTTTAGTTCCGCAAAATTCCTTCGCTTTTTCTTAAGAGTTTCGGGCACAGCAGGTACCTTCTTTTTCTTCTCTCTGACATTGACAAACCGACAATGTTAGTAACAGCTCAAAAAGCCCACTCCCGTTCAAACAGACCCCTCTTTCATTTCACTGAACAATCACTGGCTCGAAATCCCTGTATCTGTATCTGCTCTCGCATACTATAAAATGTAGACGACTTTAGACTCTCCATACCAATAACCATCTTTAACACGTACCATTTTACTAAGAAATCACGAACACAACAGTAACTATCTAATCCAGATCAATACTGGCCTCCAACTACACAGAGTCCACTCCAAGTAACAAAACTTAATAGACTTTAGTCTGCTACAACATGCTGGTCCCTAGACTCAACGAAAGAGGGCCTAGGATCCTTAGAAGAACCGATCCTGGTTTAAGTCTCCTAGTTCCACATGCTCAAAGCAAAGGCCTGGCGGCAGGGATGCCAAGAATGACCCAAATCCAGTTTCCGCCACGCTGCTCAAAAGAGTCTCTACAGAGGACTGGACCTCCGCCCAACCAGCCGGTTCCGCACATATTCAGCCCTTAACATTTGGTTGTTCCCCAGTACCTTCAGCTCCTTCGCCCCAAGGCCGCCCATATCCTGTTCAAACTCTCACTAGTGTCATAGAGCGTCACAAACACACAGATACGAAGGCAAAGGCACCAGCTACAGTAGGATCGAGAGAATACGAGATAAAAAGTTTCTGTTCTCGGGGATGGAGAAGGATTCTCAAAAGGAAAAAGAGTAACTTACTTGTCACCCTCCATGATTCCAACCACAGACCCACACACACACAAGAAAAAAAAAAGGAAGTTGGCGCATGCGCACTGTCCACTTAAAGACAGCGAATGTGAAGCCCCCACGGTTCATAGGTGTCCCAGGATAAGCCAGAAAAGAAACCAAAACTGAGACCTCGTCTTTCAGACACAAAGTTAAGAGTTGCTTGAGTCAGCCTTTTCTGAACAAATGTCGGGTAAAATTTGTATAGAGAAAATATGCAGTAATTAGGCCTTTAAATCAGTATGAGGAGAGGAAAGATTGCTGATACCTTAATTACTTGGGGCCCTAGTTAGGGCTATGTTACATCTTAAGCTCGATTTTACCCTGTAATGGTTAAAGGGCTGGCTGCTGATCCAAAGTTTGGTGGTTCAAACCCACCAGCTGCTCTATGGAAAAAAGCTGTGGCAATCTGCTTCTGTAAAGATTTACAACCTTGGAAACCCTAAGGGGCAGTTCTGCGTCTTATAGGGTCGCTATGAGTCGGAACTGACATGTTGGTAATGGGGTTTGGTGTGTCTTAACGTATACAAATAACTTGCCACAGTGGTGCAAACTACAAATACCAGAATGCATCACTTCCATTGCCCACGCCGCAGGAGTGAAACGCATGACGGGCATTGTAGGCAACTACCCCAGTGGTGGTGCCAGCCAGGGGAAATGAGAGTCTTTGGCCCACGTTCCAAATGGCTGGCCTCAGTCGGAGTCGCTCTGGAGGCCCGACTTTCGACTGCATTCCCGGCTTTCTGCCAATCCTAGTCACAGACTCTGATACCCCGTTTGCCACTTGGCGGAGGACCTTCTCTTCGTTCTTCCAGCCTGCAGGGCTGTCTTCTGCAGCGCCTGACCGCAGGAAGGGACAGTCCTGACTCTACTGGTTACCTACAGTGGCAAAATAGGGACAAGCGAGGACCGGACGGCCGGAGGAGGATGGCGACGTCCGGCCAGAGCACTACCGATCGCCAGGCCCGGCAGGCGGAGGCTGGGACACCCCACGGCAGGGGGCGTGAGCCTCGAAAGGAGGTGCGACAAGGGCTGGAGGCTGCGACCGCGGCCATGTGAGAGGGGCTGCCCCGCCGCGGCTCGGTGGACGGCGGGCGGGCTGGGGGCTGGGCCGGGGGCGGAGTGCGCCCGGGGGCGGGGAGGACCGCGCAGAGGGAGGGCCGATGCCGCCGCCGGCTCTTCCCGGTCGCGGGTTATGTAGAGCGGAGTGTGGAGCCCGCTCAGAGCCGGCCAGGAGCGCTCCGAGTTGCAAGCAGCGCTGCCTTGCAGAGCTTGGTGCCGGTGTGACAGCCTCGGAGAGTGCAAGGCAAGGGGACACGAGATCGCGGGGGCAGCTGCAAGCCGCTGGGCAGCGCTCGCCTGCGCCTAGCGAGTCGCTCGTCCCCGGCGCTCTCTCTGCCCCGCACCCCACTCTCCCACCGTCTCGCAACTTAGATCAAGTTGACAACTCCCTCGGCGGCCCGCCGGCCCGTGCCGTCTC